TTAGAAACATCACATTTGTCATCATTTTCATAGTTCTCGTACTTAGTTCTCCAGATTCGTTTGTACATAGTGTTTCAGGCCGCTGTTGCTGCTATTTTTCTTTTTTGTCGTAATATATACCCTCTACTAAAAGTCAACCATTGACTAAAAAATTAATAAAAAAATCATTTCTTTCATATGCAATGTCTTTTGCCTTCAAATTACAAATATTTTGTATTTGAGGCGGACTTTCAGATGATAACTTTTAGTTAAATATTTAATGAAATGATTTCTTCTAAAAAAGAAATATTGCTATCTTTCTTTCATCTCTTGCAAAATGACATCCAATCAACGATTGGATGTTATTTAGCAATTTAAGAGATCTGCTGCCTTGGCCTATACAAAATGCAAGAAACTGTCCCAGTTACATTAAAAATTGATTTCAAAAAATACTTACACATAATACAGATTATGTCGTCTACTTTACATAACAGCCCATTTGCTGAATTTGTTGTGTTTGAGTCATGACTATTTGTTGATAAAAATTCCAAAGCATCAACAACGCAGTCATAACAATCAAGCACGGTTTTAATGACGTTTACTGCTGATCTCCACTCTCGGCTTATATAAGAAACTCTTTTCAATATTTTCGTATATCTAGCATTCTGCTATTTTTCGACAAAAACAGAATGTCGCTTGTGTCCTGTGAAAAAAGTATACAGTTCTTGAATAATTCCGAAAACATTAATTATTTGGGAGCAACAATTTCAAACGGATTTAATAACTAGATTTAATCGATGTGCAATGCACCAAACATACATGCCTTTTGGAGCCTTAATGTTTTTAGACCATTTAATTTTTACCTGTAGTTATTTGTGTTATCGTAGCTCTGGCCAATAATCCAATTTATTTCGACTTTGGTATTTGAGAAAAATTGAAAAAATTCTCTCACTTTAAATTTTTCCAGATGTTTCACCTGTTGTAAACATTTCAATTACTTTCTCAACTTGATGTGGACCAGCAGGTGTATTTTCCAAATAACGTTAGATGAGGCATTGGGTTTCCATTTTAGATTAATCTTGGGTTCCATCGCTAATAATGGAACACACCTTTTGGTTCCTCACGCCTAAAAAACCACCGCACGTTAAGTGAGCTTGATAGATTTTTTTCCGGTTTCTTAGAAAAATCATTCGAACAAATAGTATTCAACATTTCTAAATAATTCAAAAGATGCAAAAACTTACCCTTTTTAGAATTAGAACAAACTATTTTTCAAAAAAACTATAACTAAACCATTTTCTGATTTATTTCTCAACGTCAGGTAATTTTTTTAAAAACAAGGATTATGAACAAGCTCGGTCACCTCTTTGTGAAATTACGAACGTTTATTTGGGCAAATGGTTTGTAAATAACAATTGATTTTTAATAGATTCAGTTTAAAAACATTGCAATATTAATATCGCCCTGAGATTCAACATATGCTTTTTAAACTTTATTTTCAATTTCACATGAATTGACTATTTCTTATTCAGATTCTATTTGAGATGGAGGCGTTGGAATTATAACGCTTGCTTTAGTTTTAAACGTTTCGAAAACGTTATCTTCAGTTGTTATTATAGACTTATGAACTTGTTCCATAGAATTTGGAGATGATCATTCTGAAACTGCAGAAAGGAAAACTTATTCAAGTATGATGGATTCCACAATTACATCCGTTAAAATTTCTGACACTGGTTTACTAACAACAACTTCGTCAAGCAAAAGATTTTTGATAGCATCTCCATATTTAACCCATTCTCCGTCATTTTTTCAAGATCCAATTACTTTGAAATTGAAATACTTGGAAAGTTTCTGTATTAAAAAAAATACAAATTTCTGATTCTTATTTTGCTAACTTGGGTAACTTTATTTAGCATTTAACCCAGTACTAACAATATACTTGTTATTGAAATAAATACATCCTTATATAAATACATCCTTTATACCATATTGTATGGAATATAGTAAGAATATTAATTGTTACTAATCTGAATTTGTATGCGTGTTTTGTTTTGCAGTTACCTTTCCATTTAACAGAACGAACTAAAGCATTATACATCTTCTGACATTGGTATATGTATTGCGTTTTTTCTTTCGGCATTATTTTCAAAACTTATAACCCAAAATTTATAATTTCTTTTTTTTTTTTGGTTCGATAGTAAATGTGTACTGTAAAATATGATATTATATTATAAGAAAACGTGCATTCAATACATTAAACAATAATAAATACTGTCAATTATATATATTTTATGGGCAAACATTCCTCTCATAAAGTATATTTTCGAATAAACATTCCGGTGAGATAAAATACTTCTTCTCCTCCCGTAATAAATGTTCCCCCGTTAAATTATTTTCTCATATTTTTGTTTTTCAAAAAATGATGTAAATTAGAAGGAAAAGAAATCGAAAAACCTTTTTTGAGAAAAAAATTTTCTTTATTGTAATGCTATTTTAATAATTCAATATCATGCATAAACGGTAATTATGACCTATACCAGGGGGTCGGCAACTTATTTTAAGAAGAGATCAAATTTTCCTAAATTAAATTTGAAAAACTTCTAAAGATTCAAAAGGATAATAGTTTAATGTGTCTTAATGACATTTCTGGATTATAACATATAATAAGGACAGCCTGGAAAGCCGCACAGTTTAGATAAAAGAGCGTATCTTGGTATAGGTCAGGGTTCGGCAACCCGAGCTGCGGGTTTCCGAATCATGATGCAGAGTTTTCAAAATTTTGTATTTTAAATGAATTAATAAAAAGCAGAACAAAATAAACAAATAACCTAATTTTGAACAAAAAATGTACTTGAAAATAATAAATAACATTTTAACATGTTGCTTTTTATTAATTCATTTAAAATACAAAATTTTGAAAACTTTGCATCATGATTCGGAAACCCGCAGCTCGGGTTGCCGAAGGTAAGCAAATTAAAAACATTTAGAACATGTTCTAAATGTTTATAATTTGCTTCCTTTTTTTTTTCATGGAATATATAACCAAGACGTCGCTTTCCTCTTTTTGTTTTTGTTCTTTTGTTCTTTTTTCTTTTTCAATATAAACAAAATTTATATTCGCAAGTTTGTAAATCTATTTAACAAGTTGAAGCTGTGATACAGACACAAAGAATCTGTGGTTCAAACCACACCTCTGGGCCGGTTCTCTGTGATAAGACCGTAAAGATTTCTTGGGGCACTTAAATAAAATTTAAAAATAAAAAATAAATAAAAAAATAAACATGCGAATCTTCTTCTCGGTGGTTTAATATTGAACAATCGCGCTATTTTATAGTGCGCATGCGCAATTTTTAAAAAAAATTTTTTTTTTTTTATTAATTTTTTTTTAAACACATCCTAAATAAGTAGCTCGTAGCTTTCCTATAAAGATGTATAATATATTTCCCATTATTTAAATTGATTAAAATATGACCATGGAAAGTTTCTTTTTTAAAAACTTTAAAATTTTTAAATTTTAGTGTCATAAAATACGCGGGAAACTCAAACTTTTTTTTATGGTTATGTATATTACTAAAACTGAATATTTAAGCGTTTATTTAAATTTTTATGCTTTAAAACTTAATATATTTAAAAACTAGAAGAATTATTCTTTATTTTAAAAAAAAATTAGACTTGGGTAACTTTTTTAAGTTATAAAACACTCTACGTCAAATCCTATTATTTAGCTGTCAATAAATATAAAAATGACTGAGTCTCATATAACAAAACTATTAAGATTATGTCGAATTTGTGGAGAAAAGCTTGGAAATCGAAGTGTTCTTTTAACAAACCATGTATTTAGAATAGAATTGCATTTTTTCATTCGAATCGACAAGGACGACCCAGAGATGTAGAGATGTAGAGATTGTAGAGAGTATTCATGCTGAATTCAACATCATGAAAAGTACCTACTGGCGCATGAAAGGAACACGTAAACTTAAAAGTGTAATGGATGAGCACTTCTTAAAAAACCACCCAACTGTAAAAAAATATCAACAAAAAGCTATGCCTAAGAAGAGAAAAATTGCAGATACTTAAAATAATTTGAAAAAACATTGCAAAATAGTTTTCAGACATTGCAAAAGGTTTTTCAGAAAATAAATGAGAGCATTAGGGCGTAAATGTTATTTCTGTCAGTATTTTTAAACCTTCAATTAAGAAGAAAACTTATCAATTTTTAAAAGTATGAAATTATAACAAAAAAAAGTTACCCAGTCATAATTTTTGCTTTAAATGAATCACACACTATTATATTTTCAAAAAAAACTAAAATTTATGGCTAAAAACTTTATAACATTTAAATATAGACCATAATGTATGCATAGGTTAAACTTTGCCAGAAAAACAACAAAGTTTCACTTTAGTTCCACATCTTTTCTCCTCCTAATATTATTTAAATGATAGCTTTTGTAAAACCTACCATACCTAAAATATTGTTTTAACATCATTTCTTAGAGATAATCTAGCATTATCTTCAAATAATTAAAGTTTGAAGTGTATACAACTTTATTATAAAATCTCTTTTTATCCGAAATTATTACGTTTGAATAAAATTTGACGCATGCGGGTGTTAAAACAGCATTACTAAACCACCGTGTCATGTCGTTACGGAAAGCAAATAACTTTAATAAATATAAAATGCAAGTTATTTAATAAAAATGATTTAAAGTTTTATCAAATTATTTTATTATAGTAATATAATTTGATAAAACTAATAAAAGCTTATAAACTTAGCAAAAGATTTGAATGTCTAGCTGATAAAACGTCAATAAAATTATTTAAAAACGTTCTTTATTTATTAAAAAAGTTCGCATATATATTCCTTACCCCCTCCCTGAGTTTTGAGTAAAATTTCAAACCCCCTCCCTCCTACTTCAATTTTTATAAAGCAGCAGCCTCTTGAGCAAACAGTAGTAGACGCCCTTGTTTGTGAGTAATGCAATATTTTTTACTAGTCACTTTATAATTTATAATGTTTTTAGGATTAAGCACAGCCGTAATGTGGACATGTCATTCATCTTACGTTACCACAATTGCAACTAACCATGCTAATTCATTGAACCTTCCAAAAGATCCCATAGTTTCAAAATTTTTTAGCATATTTTATGTTTTGTTCCAAGTTTCACAAATCCTAGGTAACGGCGTATCATCAGCTGTACTAATGAGTGTAAACAAAGACAAAGTAAAAGGTAAAAATATAAGACTTTTTTTTTTTGCATATTGTAATTTTTATTCTCTTTAAAGTGTTATTTACTAAAGTTATACTTGGTACATGGAAATATATTTGGAAACCTTATTCAGGATCAGAATAAGCACATATATTTGCAACCTGGTTTGCTAATTTTATAAGAGTGCACGTGTTTTTTAAATATTGAATTGAACATCGAAACCATGACAAATATCTAAAAATATATTGTATAATAAAAAAGAAATTAAAAAATAATAATATAAAAAACTAAGTAACTTTAATATGTTTTTTGTACATTTAAGTATTCTTATTTTTTTTTTAATTTACAACTCAAAACAGTTGTGGTTCTTATGATGCAAAATATTATCTTAAAAGATTTACCAGCCGTTTTCTCTAAGAACCAGACAGTAGCAAACACTGCATGCCACGAATTTCTTAATTTTCTTTTTTTTTTTTTTTTTATATATCTTTTATAAAATACAATTTTATAAAAGATATTATTAAAATTTTTTTTTTTTTAATAATATCTGAATGTCGTTGATCTGAAGCCAGCTTCGAACCAACGACCTTCAGAACTGAAGGTCGTTGATTCATATATTTTCCCTGGTCTTTTTGTAGCAAATATAGCTTTATCAACAGTAAGTAGTCGGTTCTGAATTTCTTATTCCTTATTATATCAGTGAACAAACTGTTGCATTATTCCTACTGCTCTTTCAGCAGGATCATTTACAACAACTAGAGATTTAGCAAAGCCTTTAACGATTTGAAAACTCGATTGTGAGCACCAACACTGAAGGGTATAGGTGTTAAACCAGTGGTAATAGGTGGTAAACCAGCCTCTAATCCTTTGTTTATCCAACCCAATTCTATCAAACATCAAATAGGAGAATTGATCAAATAGTAATGATAAACTTGGGAAATCATTACACACTCTCTTTTCAATTCTAATATTATTTTCCACTTCAATGAGCGATCTGATGTCAATTTAAAAAATTCAGAGTTTGGCATGTCATATTAAAGCATAGCAAAGGCAATCTTACTTTTTTCTTCGTTAGAAATGTCTTTATCCAACCAAGAAAGAGGTGCAATTGTAGATACCAGGAGTATTTGTAAAATGATTTCAATACTGTTTCAACTGCACTTGGTTTGGCAAAAACCTTTTTGTATTGATGCATTTTATGTATTGATAAAATATCTAGATATGGTGCTTTGATCTTATCAGATTGATAAGATCAAAGCACCATATCTTTTTTTTCATTGAGTCTTATCAGATTGCAAATACCATTTTGCATAAAAACATGCTATGAATTCCGCTATGATATTTATTTCTTTTAAAAGTAGTTTATCTTCCTGAACAAATTTAATTTGATTAGAAAGAAGTTGCAATATTAGATAAAATATGGCTTTTCAGAGGAACCTAGCGTGGTAGACAGCTCCTGGTTTCCTAATTTTTACACCTTCAGAAGAAAATGCTGCAGTGTAATTTACTTACATCCAGACCAGCTTTATGAACAACAGAAGTGACAAGTTTCTGGAGAGTTTCAGGAGATATATCATTGATTGATGCTGCAAGGGCAACACTGCCAATGTAAATATCTTTAGGAATTGTGCACGTAATTGATTTTATCATTTTTTTTTTCTCTTTGTGCAGCCTCGAGGTTCAAAGTCTAAAACATTCAACATTTCATCATTTTCATCTAAAATTAGTTCTTGATCTAAGTTAGCCTTAACTTTCTCAGTATTGCGTTTTCTTTTAAACTTTTTTGAATACTCTGTCTAGACATTTTACTATATTTTTTATCCCTATATATAGGCAACAAAACTTCAATATGGCAAAGAGTATTATACTTTATTTATTATAATCTGAACAAGTAAAATTGTTATGGCCATACAAATATAATAGAATAATGAAGAAAAAGAAAATAGTTGCTCAAAAACAAAATATATACATATAATATATATATATATATATATATATATATATATATATATATATATATATATATATATATATATATATATATATATATATATATATATATATATATATATATATATATATTAGGCCGGATCATAAAAATTAATTTTATTTAGAATTTGTGAAAAGTGGCGTGAGATAGTGTTGTTTAATATTTACAAAAAAAAATATTTCTAAAAAATTTATTATGCTTTGCATTTTTAAGTTTTAAGGTTTTATATGCTAAGTATATTTACTTTAGTACATGCATTAACTGAAACATGCATTTAACCCTAATACTAGATATAATCCCAAGGTTATGAAATTGAACCAAACCAATACCTACCTAACTAAATTAACCCTAATGATATGAATAACTCCAACGCTATTATAACTTTATATTATTATATTAGTATTATTATATTATTCTATTTTTATATGATTGTTTATTAATTTCTGCTTTTATCAACTGGTTGCAGAATTTATCCGTCTCATCTTGTATTTTTAGAAATTAACTGAAATTCTGATATGTTATAAAATTGTAAAACAATAATGATTTCAAGATCTAAAGCTTCAAAGAATCGTCATATACTTTTTGGAGAAGGTCGTGAATTACCCAATTTTTGCTTGCCAACCCACAAGCAAGTAGGCAAAGCATACTTGTCTGAGAAGAATTATGAAACTGAACCACTACGGTCTGTTTGTAAGAGACTAGCAGAGAAACTTTCTCAGATATGGATTAAAGCATCAGTTCCTACTATAAGTCTTCGAGGCATAGAATTACAGCTGGAGAAGTACATAGGCGATGTTCAGAAAGTGATTCGATCAAAGTTTGCAACAGTCAAACAAGATGAAATAGAAAAAGATCTTGACACATTGTTTGACATTTGTTCGTGTAAATGCAAAGAACTTTCGTCTTGTTGCTGTCCAATGGTTCTGAAGGTGCCAGCAATTGAGCATGACTTCCTAACTGATCAACGCACTATACGTGTTGGCAGAATAGCTGGAATCGATAAGAAGGAATCCGCACGTGCTGAGAGGCGTTTAAAACAAAAATCTGTTTTATTATCAAAGGAATAGACTGCAGTTAAGTGTGCCAGAGTCGTTGAAGCATCTGATAATGAATCAGATAATGAAACAGACAACAATTCTGACACCGAAACTTATTCCCCTTCCGTATCAGATGTCGATACCGAAGTCATATCTATTCGTCTGAAAAACCGTTGTTTAAAAAATATTGCTCTACAAGCAGATGGTTTTGGCATATCAGATAGAGCAGTTGCCGCGATTGTATCAGCAACTCTGGTTGATTTTGGTATAGAACATATGGGGCCAGTGGATCGGAATAAAATTCGCAGAGAACGAAAACTACTGAGAACATCCTGTAAAAATGCTGATTGTAGAATTACTGGATTGTATTTTGATGGAAGGAAAGATCAGACTAAAACTTGAGGGGGATAGGCAGACTGTGATTTCTGAGGAACATATTTCCATTTTATCAGAGCCAAATTCAAAGTATGTTGATCATTGTACGCCAAGAAGTGGATCAGCCAAATCCATTGCAGATTCAATAATTGATACTGTTGACTCCACGAACCTTGTTTGTATTGGTTCTGATTCAACTAACGTTAATACTGGTTTAAACAATGGAGTTATACGCAGAATGGAAATTGAACTTGGTCGACCACTGCACTGGTCCATTTGTCTTTTACATCTGAACGAGCTTCCTTTGCGACATCTTTTTCACTCCTTAGATGGTGCAACAACTGGACCCCATTCATTTAATGAACCAATTGGCAAGTCTATTTCAATGTCTGTTCAGAAACCCATAGTCAGCTTTGCCATAATTGTTGGTGAACCTATTATATGCGATAAGCAGTTGTTAAGCAGTGATCAACTGTACCTTTTCGAAATTGTTAATGCGGTGAAGACAGGTGTTGTACCAGATAGATTTAATTCTAGAACACCTGGGCGACTAAACCATGCAAGGTGGTTGACACTAGCAAACCGTGTTCTACGCCTCTATATATCTACTGAAGATCCATCAAATGAACTAATACTTTTGGCTAAATTTATTGTGAATTCATATGCGGTTGTTTGGTTTGACATTAAGAAACATTCAAACTGCTGGAATGCTGCTCCACACTATTATAAAATGATAGAAACATCACGATTTCTTCATGTGCGTTATCGAGTAATTGTTCAGCAAGTTTTGAAGCGCAATAGCTACCCGGCTCATATCGAGAGCATTATTCTGGCTATGCTCAAAGACAACCGTCAAGTGATCCGTAAGCTTGCGTTGAAGAGAATTCTTCGTGCTCGTGAAAATGACATACCAAATCGAAAATTTCAACTCCCTGAGATACGATTTCAAGCGACTAGTTATGAAAAACTGATTGACTGGCAAACACAGCCCCGCTTGGAACCTGTTCTGACAAAACATATGTACAACTGTACATCCAACTGTACAAACATTGGCATGCTTTCGTCAGCAGAAGACATAGTTATTGACATTGAGTCATTTCCATGTCACAATCAAAATGTTGAACGTGTGATTAAAATTGTGACTGAATCAGCATCCAAAGTTTATGGTCATGAAAATCGTGATGGCTATATTCGCGTTCAACTGGAGCGCCGCAAGTTGATGCCTCACTTTGACACAAAATCTGAATTTAAGAACATTTAAGTATAGTTTCTAATCAACGTTTGCTAATGATATATTGTTTTGATTGTTCAAATAATTTGAATTTTATTATACATTCAATCAATAAATAATGTAACAAATGAGCGTTTTTAAGTTAATTTATTTGAAAACTTCAAAGGTAAAAATGCAAAGTATAGCAAAGTAGTAGCGAAAAACGGTTTGCAACATTGCATTCAGCGTATTTGAGAGCCAATTACTGGAAATTCCGGAAGAAATTTTCCAAATTTTTTTAAGTTAAGATCCGGCCTAATATATATATATATATATATATATATATATATATATATATATATATATATATATATATATATATATATATATATATATATATATATATATA